CTCCTCCCGCTGCCCCACCAGACTCAGCAAAACCGAAAACCAGCTCCTCCAGCCGCGGTTTCCTCCCTGGGACCGGGAGGAGCCCCCGGCGCTCAGCTCCTGCCAAGGCTTGGTTATCTCCTCCAAGGATGTTTCCTAACTCCTTGGCGCCTCGGGGCTGGTCGGGGAGATAACGGAGCAGCTTCGGGTCCCGTTCCTGCGCGGTCTGGCCCTCTGCAAATGCCCCTTTTCCTCCCTCGAGAGCCGCTGTGTGAAGCAGCGGGGCAGCCACGGCCCTTCTGGGGCTGTTCCCTGCTGGGAAAGGAGCTGCCGAGCTCCCCGTGGGTCAGCCCGTGGCTCCTACTCCAGGCCTCGTCCCACGGGATGTCAGCAGGGAACTGGCTGTGAACCCACTGCTGGGGAAACGGGGCGTAAACCACTGCAGGGAGCGATGGGCGCCCTGAGGGGGATGAGCAGCCCTGGCAGGGGTTTCTCTGTGTGCAGAAGGCAGGTGATGGAGCTCCACGGATTTTTTTTTCACCAGCCCAGAGACAGAGGTTTGCTGGGAGGGACTTTTTTCTTTCCCCTGTACTGTTTTGAGCTGCCAAAAAAAATGGGAAGTGTTCAGAGAGTTCCCAAAATAGCCTAGAGGCAAGCTCTGAGTAATCCCTGTCTGACACGCCCTGGTGAGGTAAACTGCCATTACCTTGGCCAGATGGTCGAGGGGCAGCACTGCTGCTCCAAGCCCTTCCTGGTCCCACTGCACCAGAGCAGGGTTGCAGGAATCTGCTCCATCCTGTGGCACTGGAGTGGTCAGTGGGAGCTGGTGGGAGTGGGGTGAGCTCAGCCAGGGGAAAGGATTAGTCACCAGTGCTGAGAACATGTAGGATGGGATGGATTGGCATGGGAAGGGATGGGACAGGATGGAGATGCTCCCATGGGACTTTGGCTCTTCCTAAAGAGACAGGGAAGGACCAAGTGGATCTAGCCCCGTGGGGCTGTTGGAAGCAGCTGGAGGGAGGAGGTGCTGCCCATGGAGGGCACTCTGGGATGTGTGTGGGGCTGGCAGACAGGTCCCCATGTGCTTGGCTGGCTCCTGCCCACCAGGCTTCAGCTGGCTGGGCTGGGATGACAGCACAGTTTGGAAGTGCCTGGAAGTGGTCCCTGCTTTTCATCTGGCTATGGGACACCCACCCCCATCTCACCTGCTGAGCTGGACCTGTCAGGGCACCCTTCCCCTTGCTTGGGCACACTCTGAGCTCTGAAATCCTCAGGGAAAGCCCTTCCCTGGCAGAGAGGAGATGCGGTGGGGGCTTATCCCGGTGGCAGGGAAGGCTCAGTGGGGCTGGGAGAGGGGGGTCCTGCTGGGGTCTTGTCCCCGTGGCCAGAGCAGCATCTCCTGACGGCCCCGGGTGTCTCACCACATCCCCAGCCTGTGAGCCATGGCCTACCACAGCTTCCTGCTGGAGCCCATCAGCTGTCACGCCTGGAACAAGGACCGGACCCGTAAGTACAGCCAAGGTGCCCCGTCTCGAAGTCCCCAGGGACAGCCCGGAGTACCCACCGTCCCACCTTAACCTCCCCGGGGTGCGTGACGGCCCCGAGACGGGGCAGAGCTGAACTGGGGCTGGGGAAGCAGGTCCTGCCACAGCTTTTTGGGGCTGGGACAGCCCGTCTCGGTCTCCTCCTGCATCCCTCTGGTCCCGGGGATCCCAGCGCAGCGTCCCGGGCTCCGCGGCAGCCGCTGCGGGAAGGGCGGGGAGAGCCGCGCGGGGGAGCGGGGCGCGGGGGCGC